CAGTTAAAGCTTCCTTGACATTTCTTGGTTCCATTTTGGACACAAAACAAGAGTTTGAGATGATTTCTCTAGATCTTGTGATGACTCCACTATTAGGATCTCCTATGATGAGATCTTTTGGATGATCCTTCTGAATTCTGATGGAAGGGATCTTGCTAGCTTCCTTTGATTCAGATTCTGTTGTGGTGGAGTTGGGTAGGTCATTCTGTTGGGTTGAAGTCTCAAAGAATGTCTCAACAGTACAAGGAACATCTATTTCTTCATGATAATCATCAATTATAACATTTATTAATTCCATCATGGTTTTGGTTCTGGAGTTGAATACTCCATAAGCTCTGCTGTTTGAGGAGTATCCTAGAAATATGCCTTCATCACTTTTAGGGTCCAGTTTTCTTCTTTGTTCACGATCAGCCAGAATATAGCATTTGCTGCCGAACACATGGAAGTACTTCACAGTTGGTTTTCTTCCTTTCCAGAGTTCATATATGGAGGATGAGGTTCCCTTCCTCAAGGTGACCCTGTTATGAACATAGCAGGCTGTATTCATAGCTTCAGCCCAAAAATACATAGGAAGTCTTTTGGCATGTAACATTGCTCTGGCAGATTCCTGTATGGTCCTGTTTTTTCTTACCACAACTCCATTTTGTTGAGGTGTTATAGGAGAAGAAAACTCATGACTAATTCCTTCTGAAGAACAGAAATCATCAAACTTGCTGTTTTCAAATTCCTTGCCATGATCACTTCTGATTCTGACAATACTCCCTTCCTTTTCTCATTGAATTCTTTTGCATAATTCTTTAAAGACTTCAAATACATCAGATTTTTCCCTAATGAAATTAATCCAGGTGAATCTGGAAAAATCATCCACAACCACATAGGCATATCTTTTTCCACCAAGACTCTCTACTTGCATTGGTCCCATCAGATCCATATGAAGAAGTTCTAGAACCTTAGAGGTGGTCAGATGTCTTGACTTTGGATGTGACATCCTAGTCTGCTTACCAACCTGACATTCACCACAAACTCTTTCTTCATCAATTTGTAGTCTTGGAATCCCTCTGACTACCTCCAAGGAGATAATCCTCTTCATACCTCTTAGATGAAGATGGCCAAGTTTTTGGTGCCACAGTTTCACCTCTTTTTCTTCTTTTGCAATGGAACACACAGATGAGAAATTAGTGTTCTCAGGCTCCCACAAGTAACAGTTGTCTTTGGATCTGACTCCTTTCATAACTATCTCTTGTTTGTCATTGATTACAAGACATTCAGATTTTGAGAAATTGACCTTGAATCCTAGATCACACAATTGACTGATACTAATGAGATTAGCAGTCAGCCCTTTTACCAGCAGTACTTCATTCAGACTTGGAACTCCAGGGCAGTCCAAATCACCAACTCCTTTGATTTCACCTTTAGCACCATCTCCAAAGGTCACAAAACTGGTGGTGTGAGGCTTAACATTATTGAGGAGGTTCTTGATTCCAGTCATGTGTCTGGAACATCCACTGTCAAAGTACCAGTCTTCCTTTGCAGAGACCCTCGGGGAAGTGTGGGCTATCAGGGAAGTAGCCTTTTTCTTCCATTTAGGAGCATGTGGTACCTTTTTAGACTTAGGTTTGACACCTGAGTTCTGATTAGGGTATCCATGCAATCTGAAGCAGAAGGGCTTTATGTGGCCATATCTCCCACAATGATGACATCTCCATCTTTGGTACCTTTTCCTCATATGTCGTTGTTCCTGATGTTGAGAGTTGTGTTGAGACATCTGTTTTGACATTTGCTTACCAGTACCAGATTTCTTTGCTTCCATAAATCCTAGTCCAGATTTATTTCCCACATTTTGTCCAACCTGAAGGATCTCTTCCAATTTGTCTGTTCCATTTGTCAGCATCTTGACAGATTTGGTCATTTGATTCAGTTGTGAGTTCAGCAATTGAACTTCTCCTTCTAGATTACTTATAGTTTCAAGGTTTGCCCTTTTTTCAGCTTCCAGCTTTATGATGAGTTTTGATTGTTTCTCATTCTGCACACAGACTTCAGTACTTCTGATACACAATTTCTTGTAAGTATCAGCCAGTTCTTCAAAAGTCACCTCTTCATCACTAATGTCACTTTCAGAGGTACAAACACCAGTTAAAGCAGTAACTAGTTTGGCAGATTCTTCTTCAGAATTACTTTCTGAATCAGAGTCAGACCAAGTAACTGTCATTCCTTTCGTTTGTTTCTTAAGAAAGGTAGGACATTCAGCTAGAATATGCCCATATCCTTCACAACCATGGCATTGAATTCCTCTGCCTTGATTTCCCTTCTCTTCTGACCTTGGTCTTCTGCTGGAACTGTCAATGTCAGAGGGAATGTTATGAACATTAGACCTTGACTTTGGATCTATTCTTTTGATGAGTTTGTTGAACTGTCTTCCAAGCATGGCTATAGCTTCTGAAATATTTTCTTCAACATCAGTGTTGGACACAAGTGCTATGCTCTTGTTCTTCTTGTCACTATTATCAATGATCCCCATCTCAAAAGTCTGAAGAGACCCAATAAGTTCATCCACTCTCAACTTGCTGATGTCCTGGGCTTCCTCTATGGCAGTTACCTTCATTGCAAATCTTTTAGGCAAGGATCTGAGAATCTTCCTCACCAGTTTTTCTTCTGACATCTTTTCTCCCAGAGCTCCTGAGGTATTGGCAATCTCCAAGATGTTCATGTGAAACTCATGAATGGTTTCATCTTCCATCATTTTTAGATTCTCAAACTTGGTAGTCAACATCTGAAGCCTTGACATTTTTACTTTGGAAGTGCCCTCATGAGTAGTTTTGAGAGTGTCCCAAACTTCCTTGGCCAGTTCATATTGATGTACTAGTCTGAAAATGTTTCTATCAATTCCATTGAACAAGGCATTTAAAGCTTTGGAATTTCCCAGGGCTAACTCATCTTCTTCTTTACTCCAATCTTCCTCAGGCTTCAGACTGATTGTCCCATCTTTCTCAGTTATGGTGGGATGGATCCATCCTTTGTCAGCAGCTCTCCAAGCCTTTTTGTCCAGAGATTTTAGGAAGGCAATCATACGAGGTTTCCAGTAGTCATAATTAGTTCCATCCAGAATGGGTGGTCTATTTCCAAAAACTCCTTCTTTGTCCATAGTGCCAGAAAGTGATATCCCTAGATCTCACCCAGTAATACAGGCAGGGTGCCTGCTCTGATACCAATTGAAATTCTGGCTGCAGATACTCAATATCACGTTCAATGTTATGACACCGTATCTGACTTACTATATGACAATAAGTACAAAAACAATAAAGAACACAGTCAATTGTTTACCCAGTTCAGTGTGCAACAACACCTACTCTGGGGGCTACCAAGCCAGGGAGGAAATCCACTATAAGAGATGTTAATTCAGGAATAAACCAACCAGTTTATCTCCTTCACTTAAGACCTACCCAATGCAATTTCAATCTAAGTACAACTTAAACCTGAGTTCCTACTCACTCCCCCTCAATCACAGCAGTGATACATAAAACAATTTGACTAATGATTTGATGAAGACACTCTTCAAAAACATACACTTGATTAAGCTTCACAGCTTTTTAATCAAGTAACACAACCACTCTTGCTTCACAGCTTTGAGTGATACACAACTAACTTGACTCTGCTTCACAGCTTTGGTCAAGGAGCATTCAAACACTCTTGCTTCAAAGCTTTGAGTGCTACACAACCCTTACAATTAAAAACCTATTCCAAGTCACTCATCACAATGATAATTGCTTGGAGTACAATAATTAAACCTATACAGATTACAAATGATCTTCTGATCAAAAAGGGATACCTTGCAAAACAGCAGCTCTGTTGAATATATAGCAGCTGCAACTTCAGTTAGGGTTTCCACAAAAACCTAGGGTTAATTCCGTTTGACCTTAAGACTAGGTCACATGACTTTATTAACCAGGTTAGGGTTGAGCTAGGTTACCCCTCAGAAAACGCAGGATTCTGTTCTGGAAAGACTGAGTTGTCACTACAAGAAAAAAAGAGATTTACGACACATAAATTGCGACAGTTCCCACAAAACCGTCCTTATTCCTGAATTGCGACAGTTGTCACGACGGTTAGGCTCAACCGTCGTAGATTTTCAAGCATTATTCCTGAATTGCGACAGTTGTCACGACGGTTAGGCTACTTTTTTTTATTCTTTTACTTTCCCACTTTTTTTCAGCAACACAATATCATAATATCAACACAATATCATAATATTTTCAGCAACTAATATTTATTATTAAATTATAAACAAAATACAACAAATAAAAATATAAAAAAACAAAATAGGAGTAACAAACAAAATTGAAAGAGGATTAGGTTTTGTGAAAGAGCTTTTTATCCGATTGAAGCAAAGAACCACCCCCGGAAGTACGATGTTGCGCCTAGAATGGTGAAGCTTCCATTCTTCGATTCGACTCAATCTTCTTCATCTTCTGCGCGATTTTTGTATCATCCGAATATCAAGGTATATAAATTATTGATTCAATCTTCTTCTACTTCTTTTCAATTTTCTTTCGATTTTACCGTGGTGATGTGTTTCGGTTGAAGTTGCAGAATCAGTTGCATTGATGAAGATGATGAACGAATGAAGTTATTGATTCAGTGAAGATGCATTGAGGACGATTGAAAAACGGAAGGTGATGATGCTGTTTTGAGATAACCAGAAGGTGAGTTTTTCTTTCTTTCTGTGAATCTCCTTCTGAGTTTTTTGTGTGATTTTCTGATTGAATGAATCGTGAGCCAAGTGAGAGAGTGAAAGTTTTGTATGATGTAAAGGACTTGTGATGATAATGGTTTTGTAATGCTTGTGAACAACTTGTAATGAACATGATAGACTACGGTGGCTCCATATTCAGAATTTCAACCGCCGGTCACTGCAATTTGAGTGTTCATTCAGTATATTAAATCCATCCTCTTTGTCGAGAAAGGGTCTTGATGTTCATACTGTCCATCTCCATAGGCTACTGATGCGCTTTCAACATTTAGAGTCTTTATCCTTATGTGGTTGTACGGAGCTCAATGATTCAGGATTAACCCGTCTGCTAAGCTATGGTTCGAATTTACAGAAACTTAATCTAGATTGTTGTTTGAAAGTTACTGATTACGGGCTATCCCTGGTTGCTTCTGGTTGTCCCTCATTGACGTCAATTAGTCTCTATCGGTGTATCAACATTTCTGATGACGGATTAGAGACTTTAGCCACTGCTTGTTTATCTTTGAAATGCATAAACCTCTCGTACTGCTCACAAATATCCGACAAAGGGTTGAAAGCTCTTACTCAGAGGTGTCGTCAGCTTCAGGCAGTTAACATATCACACTGTGAGAGTATAAGAGGTGTTGGCTTCAAAGGGTGTTCAAAATCTCTCACACATGTAGAGGCTTGGTCTTGTAAGCTCAACCCAGAAGGGGTGACGGGAATAATTAGTGGCGGTGGTATAGAGTATCTAGACGTATCTTGTTTAAGTTGGTATCCCTTAGGAGATACCTTGCTTGGAATAAGATTGTCCTCAAACCTCAAAGTCCTTAACTTTCGAATGTGCAGATCTGTTTCCGATACTTCTATTGTTGCAATATCCATGGGATGTACACTACTTGAAGAATGGAACTTAGCATTATGTCATGAGGTGAGGATATCTGGATGGCAAGCAGTGGGGTTATATTGTCAGAATTTGAAGAGACTGCATGTTAATCGATGCCGTAATCTCAATGATAATGGCCTGCAGGCATTACGAGACGGTTGCAGAAGTCTCTCGGTTTTGTACTTGAATGGTTGTGTTCACGTGACTCCTTTTGCATTAGAGTTATTCAAGTCTCACAGAGCAAATGTTTGTATAAAGGATGAAGAGGTAATGTGCATCAATCCTTACTACTTGATTGTTAAGTTTTGTAATATTCTATCTTAAATACTCACAGATTAACACATGCAATGAATTGTCGGATTTTGGCTATTTTATTATTATGGCTTGTGGAATCACTGTTTTGCAGCAAATAGGTTTAGTTCCATATACATATTTCTGTTTTGAATTATCAGGTTGTTTCTTATGCTGAAATTGGTGTTATGCTCACCACTCCTAATTTTTTGTTGTTTTAGATATCAGCTTAATTTTCATGTGTTTCATGCTGAAATTGTGTAGTTTTATACTTAATTTTCATGTGTTTCATTCTTGGTTGAATAATATTAAATTTCACAGGGGTCAATTTAATTGGAAGGTTTAGAAGAAAATGCAAAGGCCAATGAAACTTCTTAGTTAGTGGTGAGTTACATGAAAGAGGAAACATTTTAGGGATTATGTATTCCTTATTTGTATGTTGAAGCAATTTAAGAGATGAAGTATTTTCTTAGAACCTTGACAGCCTACCATGTTATTGCAAAGGTATATTTTTTATATAGTTTATTCATCACACATGTAAGTTTCTCAATCTTCGTGGTACTTTTTCTTCCATTTCGATAATGAATGTGTTTCTTCGTCATAGCTTCCCATCAGGTGAGCAAGGTTGGTGCTTATTCAAGAATAAAGCAAGAACTAGAGTCAAAGAAACAAGAATTCACCTATGAAGAAGTATTAAGCATTACCAGAAACTTTGAAAAGGTGGTGGGGGAAAGAAGCATCTGAAATAGTCTACCACTATAAGTACAAGTAGTGTGATTTGGATATAGAGACACTGTATTTTGCAACTGAACTTCCCAAAATAGTCTGTTCATTTTTTACCGGAGCAGCCACTCATGGAGTCAATTTTTTGTTTTTTGTGTTGGTATTGGGTAAGAAGTTAATTGACATTGTTAGTGTTTTAAGATATCCTTAAGAAGCTTGGTGCAGAGGAGTTACTTCTTGTGTGAGGTTAGTTTGTAGTGCCCTTTAAACATTATGAACACTGATTAGTTCTTCTTTCATTACCTATGACTTTGACGAAACCTTTATTTTAAGCAAACAGAAAAACTAGAGCCATTGTGCTAATTATATTCAAAATAAGTACTAACATGACACGTATATAAACTTATATCATTTGTTACTTTTTGATGATTGGAGTGATGGAATGCATATCACCGATGATCACACTACATGCACTAGATAGCTCTTACATTGCATTGGCCATGACATTATTCTTATTTTCATGTCTGGGTAGTTAATCTTAAAGGTCTGCATGATGCAATAGCTACCAGTATAGAGATCATTTTCATGAGAATGCATCAGTAAAAGAGCTGTTTTTGTCAATACACTCTGCACTCAGTCCAAAACAAGTGACCCGGAGTAGGAGCAGATGAGTTTGTTACATGTCAAAACCCTTCCAGCGAAATGAAGTTTACTCCTTATAGTACAAATTTGTTCTTTGAAGGTTCAAAGTATCCTCGGTGATGCATGAATGCGCATAACAAAATTCTATTATATCTTGTTTTGTTTCGGTTATTGTATTACTAGAGTCGGTACTTCAAATACACATATTTGTTTGCTGTAGCCAATCTTTTTTGGCAGGAAACTCTTGACACTGCAGATGAAGGGTGGTGCAACTATATCTGTTTTTTGGGAACTATGCAGTTTGTTGATGGTAAATACAATATTCTATTTAACATTCAAGGTTTTGTTTGGAAGGATGACTTCTGTATATTGATTGAATCGTATCGTATGAATGCTAGACACCTCTGTTCTCTCTGTTCAATTTTGATGCATTTAGCTTTCAACTGTTTTGGTCACTTTTTCTTGTTTCTAAATGCTTGTGAACAATTTCATATGCCCATCTAAATGATTTCAGAGGCAGCTCTAGAGCAGAAAATAGGACCTCCTGTCGAAAGGCCTCTCTTACTCCCTCCATCTCTAATAATGGACTGATAAGATAAATCAATATTTCTTTGAGATGAAAGAATTCCGTTCACTTAATGTTTGACTTCGGAGATTTCGGAGCTAACCTCTTTTTGTTATAGTTCCTGAAAATCGGAAAATCTCACTTGTTATAGGTAACTTGTAGCAAAGTTATAAGGTGGTATAAGCATATTACAATGTGCAATAATTCATAAATCTTTTCTCCCAATAATAAGTACCGGTATCTCACGGAAATCTCACGCTTCAATAGCAAAAGCAATGTCTCCTTGCATTATTTTACAAATGGTTTCCCAACTGAATTAATAATACTGAGTTAGTAAATATTTCAAAACAATTGGATTGCTCATTTCAAAACAATGTTGAAAAGTGATAGAAAATAAAATAAAAATACTATAAATAAAAAAATATTAAAGTAAATAATAATTTAAATAAAAATATTATTTGAAATTTATAAATCAGATTACGACGGTTAAAGTCAAATTCACGACGGTATATAACCGTCGCAAACAACAACAACAAAAAATAAAGTCAAATTCACGACGGTATATAACCGTCGCAAACAACAACAAAAACAAAAAATAAAGTCAAATTCACGACGGTATATAACCGTCGCCATCTGTTGTGCGTGACAGTTTTTGCAACCGTCGCGAAATAGGCTGGGGACGCACGATTCTGCGACGGTACTTCTACCGTCGTAGATTGTAAATTGCGACGGTTTTAACCGTCGTAATCAGCCAAAATAACCGTCCCAATCTATCATTTTTCTTGTAGTGTGTTTTCCTGAAAAAACTCAGAATTAACCAACCTGCAAACCTGTTAGTTCAGAACAGGATGTCTTAACATCTGTTATGACATATGAGAAAACCTGTCTACTGATTTAGCAAAATGTGATCATTTTGCAAAATGCTCAGATACACACTTATAAACATCAGTTCCTGAATGACAATATTTTTCTGCAAAGGTACCTAATGAATCAGTACAAACTAAACTAGAATGTTATGACATCAGTCATGACATTCACACATACACTTGGGTTTTACCAAAAATGCAAGCCAATACCTAAACAACTACACAGTCAAAAGAAGGAAAGAGGCGTTTTCAGACAATCATCACTAAACGAGAAGAGGCAAAGATAAAGATACCAGGGAAGGATTCAAAGCAAGCTTGCATCACTATCTCTTCGCCCTTGGCCGCCTGAAGCGATTCCAAATCCAGCTCCTCCTCCATCTCCCAAAAGTCTCCATTAGGTATAATTTCTCTCCCTTTTCACGCACCTCAAATGGAAAAAATAATAACAACATAAACGAAATCAGAACACGAAACTAAACATGCAAGGAAGAGAAATTAACAACATATAAAATTCGAAACTCTAAATGCGTTAAGGAAGCAGAAACCATCACCTTTTAATCTCGCTTCGCTGGATCAAGGAGGGAAGAGGGGACAAAGATGGAAGCCTGGTGGCCATGGGCGAAGAAGCTCATTCAGTAACTTGGTGAAGGAGAAGAAGAGGATAGAAACGAAGAAGAGCGCCGCGCCTCTGTATACACCAAACCCTAATCCTCTTTCTGAAACAAAAATCAATTAACCCTAAAACATTTGTGAGACGCCAATGGGCCTTGCCCTTCAAAACGCCTGAAGCCCATTAAAGCCAGCACACACCCCCTTTGTTTTTCTTCTGATTATTTGTTTGGGCCTCCAAATTCCCTTTTGGCTCATTCATCTTTTTTTTTTCATTTTTTTTAACTAATATCTTTTTATCATATCATATCTCCCTTTTAATAAATTAACATATCATTTTTTTATATCAATTTTCATTAACTCTTTGATTTTCTTTTTTATAACATAATTTAATTTTGTAAATAAAAAATAATAACACATTAACTGTTTTACATAAAATATTCTTAATTACTTTTTATTTTTTTTAAGCTAGTATACATAAAATAGATTTCTTAAAACATTTCTTTTTCTTTGATTAAATCTTTTGTTTTGTACATAAGGCATTAATTTTCTTAAAACATCTTTTTTTCCTTCTTATAAAAACCCTTGTATAAAATATTCATAGAAATACATTAAAAAAAATAGATTTTAACTTAAACATTTTCTTTTATTAAATTTTATTTTCTTTGTACATACTTAACCAAAATACAAAACAAGAATACAATACTTAAATACACATTTCTCAACTTGTAAATAAATCACATTCACATGCACATACACATTTACAATACACATTTTATCTTTCTTATACATTGATACATTTGCTTGTCCCTTTTTACATTGCTATTACTTTACATTTGAGATGGTGATTGATTCGATTTGGTTGTAAATATTTGGATACTACTCTCCTATAAGTCTCATCCCCCATTTGTAAATAATTGTACCCCCATCCCCGGATACTCATTTGTAATAGTTTAGGACTTTAAATTCCCGCAATTTATCGCTTTCGAATTATACCATGGTTAGACCTAGGGTTTGTATGTAAATAAAATCAAACGCTATATAACCTAATACAAAACAAATGCATGAAATCAATACACAATCACACTTGCACCCCTAGGGTAATCCCGCTTGTTGCCTTCCAAAATGGGTCATGCTTGCACGTCGAGTTTCTTTGGCAAAACAATTCAAATGATCATAAGTCCCTCGATGACGCTTTCGAAAGTTGCCTAAACGGAATGATCATAGTCCCTTCAAGCAAATTGCCAAAGACACTTGGCACCATTGCATTCATGGTCCATACGATGACCCGCGCCTGTCCCGTTAAACATCCTAAAACACAAGATTGCCCATCAAATACAATGGTGGAACAAAATTGTTAAAAAGGGGTTAAAACATGAAAAAAAAACCTTTGAGTAAATTTAGGGGTAGACAACTCTTAGTTACTTAACAAACTTGCAAAAAAACACTTGCCTACTTTTCAAAACCACACTCCACAAACACTTTCAAAACAAACTTTCAAAAAAACATTTGAAACATCTTTTCGAAAAGATACACACCTTCGTATATACTCAGACACGAGTCATTACAATGGTTGCCGAAACAAAGGCGTCTATTTCAAAACATTTTTCAAAACACACACACACACCATTTCAAGCAATCGAAAATCAAGGCAAGTGATCTAAAACCAAGTAACTAAGAGCCCATGGATAACCATGGATGAAAAGGGTGCTAATACCTTCCCTTTTCATAGTCTACCCCCCGAACCCACGAAACATCTCAAAAGGTTTTTCCTGTACTTTTTAACCTTTCCTTTAGGATAAAATAAAAAGTCGGTGGCGACTCTTGCTCAACCGAACAAGTGCGAATACAAACGCAAAACTCAAGTATGTTCTCCCACCGTATCACAGCTACAAACCCTCATATAAACAAATACCTAATTTTCTTCTTAAGTTCTCAAACTGATTAGCATCCAAAGTCATAGTGAAGATGTCAGCCAGTTGCAATTCAGTGGCTACATGTTCTAAGGCAACAATCTTCTCTTCAACGAGCTCTCTTATGAAGTGATGCCGGATATCAATATGTTTGGTTCTGCTGTCTTGAATGGGATTCTTTGATATGTTTATGGCACTTAAATTGTCACAGAATAATGTCATGACATCTTGTTTGACATTGTATTCTGTTAACATTTGTTTCATCCAAACTAATTGAGAACAACTACTTCCTGCAACAATATACTCAGCCTCAGCAATGGACATAGACACACAATTTTATTTCTTGCTGAACCAAGATATGATATTATTTCCCAGAAAGAAGCATCCTCCTGATGTACTTTTTCTATCATCAGCACTTCCTGCTCAATCATCATCACAATAACCAGTTAAGGCAGAATTATATCCATGAGAGTATAGCATACTATAGTCACTCGTCCCATTCACATATTTGAGAATTCTCTTCACATGGTTGGCATGGCTAACTTTAGGATCAGCTTGATATCTTGCACACACCCCTACAACAAAGGCAATGTCAGCTCTACTAGCTGTGAGATATAGAAGACTGCTTATCATACTTTTGTACATACTTTGATCCACACCTACTCCTTTTTCATCTTTAGACAACTTCAGATGTGTGGGAGCAAGAGTTCTTTTGTGGTTGGCATTTTCCATCCCAATTTTTTTTACTATATTCTTGGCATACTTTCTCTGAGATGAAAATATGGAATCTTCCATTTGTTTAACTTGCAGACCAATAAAATAGGTTAACTCACCAACAAGACTCATCTCAAATTCTGACTGCATTTGCTTGACAAAATGTTGAACCATCTCATTTGACATCCCATCAAACACAATATCATCAACATAAATCTGTGCAATCATGATCTTCCCTTCTTCTTTCTTGACAAAAAGAGTTTTGTCTATGCCACCTTTCCTGTATCCATTCTCAACAAGAAATTCTATCAGTCTCTCATACCAAGCTCTTAGAGGTTGCTTCAATCCATACAGAGCTTTCTTCAGTTTGTAGACATGTTTAGGAAAACTTAGATCAACAAATCCCATTGGTTGTTCCACATAAACTTCTTCATTCAGATAGCCATTTAAGAAGTCACTTTTTACGTCTCTTTGAAATAATTTAAATTTTAGTATGCATGCAACTCCCAAGAGTAGTCTGATTGATTCAAGTCTGGCCACAGGGGCAAAGTTTCATCAAAGTCAACTCCTTCAATTTGAGTGTATCCTTGTGCAACTAACCTTGCCTTGTTTCTAGTAACCACCCATGTTTCATCAGATTTATTCTTGTACACCCATTTTGTGCCAATCACATTTGTCCCTTCAGGTCTTGGAACAAGATCCCAAACTTCATTTCTACTGAATTGTTCTAGCTCTTCCTGCATATCATTAATCCAGAACTCATAAGTTAGGGCCTCTTTGACATTCTTAGGCTCAATTTTTGACACAAAGCAAGAGTCTGATATCCCATCTCTTGATCTGGTAGTAACTTCTTTATTTAGATCTCCTATGATAAGCTCCTTAGGATGATCTCTATGGGTTCTAATTGAAGGTCCTTTATTGAGA